GCAACAATTTGGAGATTTCGTCGTAAAACAGCTGAAGTTTGCCAATTTTTTCGCCTGCTTTCAACTGAGTGTTGTCAACAACATGAAAGAACCTTTTCAGCTGCCGGAACCTATTGCGGGCCATCACTGTCGCGACTATAGGCACACAAAGATCTTCTGCAGTCCTCCAATACTAGTCCTCAGACGAAACGGAGTGGTACCCGCAGAAAAGTAAGAGGCCGAAAAACTGACCTATGTCCGCTCCTGTGACGTCCACCACCTCCTCCTTTTGGAGTGCGTATCTTGCAGTTAGTTCAGCCAGTGAACCAAGGTACTCCGGAGAAATAAATTTGCTGAAAAGCATAAATGGGCTCATATTTGCAAGATCAGGAAATACCTCTAGCAACAACGGAGGACTCTCGCTGGGAAGTGTTTTGCCAAACGTGGCATGTTCACCCCATACTGGTGTATGGGAGCGCTTTGAAGTATTTGTTTTCCGAGCGTTTGTTGAAGCTTTGCGTCCTTTTCCAGCAGTGAATTACCGCCCCGCTGGTTTCTTTTGTCGTGGCTCAGGACTCAAAGATGCAGAAGACGAATCAACGTCTTCATCGCTGCACTGCATAACTTCAACGTGCCCGCAAACATCATCGGGAACAACTTCAGAAAAGTCGTTTACGTTCACGTGCTCCTCGTCAGTAATATTGCCATCTTCAACAGGCGGCAATTGGCATACAGACGCACCTTCGCGTTCGTCATAGGGAAGGCTGAACAAAAGGTCAATTGCTGCCTCCAAAGTGAGGAAGCGTTGTGCCATGACCTACAGCGAAAGTTATTGTGGTGTAAAGCACAGTACTAGAAAAAGAAAACCAGCCGCAAGGTTGTTTTCTACCTACATTCACAGGGATTGATGTAGCTAGGCACTGTAGTTCAATGCTGCTCTTTCCACGTGTCTGGCAAACTCAAAATGATGCCCAGGAAAGCTTATGTTCAAGTTTCTGCCAAGCGCCGCCCAGCGGGCACCATCGACAAGGCAGAAAAAGAACGAGGCGAAATGCTCGCGCGCGTCTACGCTGCGTTTGACACTGTGAAACGCCAATGTTCCAAAAAAGGAACATCCGCACAAAACTCTCAAGCTGAAAACTAGATTGTCTTTGTTATTTTTTTATTGTATTGCCACGTAATCCTGAACTATTTGCCGATATTTTAGTTCTGCTTTGCTCACTGCAACATTACTTTTTCCTGCGGAATAATGCAACAAACATCTGGTGGTCAAGGAGCGCAAAATATGCCTGTTTTTAAAAATTTATCTAATGATTCTCCGTAGGTTCATAATAGAAACTAAAACTGCTATGTTTTTCACAAGCATCAATGAGTATACGTGAACATAAAATATTAATATGCGATATATTGGAGAGAAAATAAAAAAATAGGTTTCGTATGTTCCAATTTTGGAACATTGGCAAGTAAAAGGTTAAAGGTGTGTTTTGCCGACGGGGCATCGACGGCGAGCCCACATTGCCATAGCAACCATTTCAAAAAAGCACGTAACTTCTGCCACACTTCTTTCTCTGTCGCTTGGATAGCGAGGGCCCCTCCTCAGTTTTACTTCCTCCATGTACTGGCTCGTGTGCTGAGCGCGGGCTAGGAGATGGCCCCGCAGCGGATGACTGCCGGCGGCTCCCGCATGGTGCGCTGCTGCGCAAGTGGGTGCATTTGCCTTCAATCCTTGCGCTCCGCAAGCGCTGCGAAGCCTGCAGGAGGCCGAGCCGCACGAGGCCTACTTTTATTCTTTTGTATTTTTGGAGTGTTCTTTAAAAAAAAGCTTTGTTGTATAAGAATCACTCGATTGATTTCACAGTACTGGAACTTTGCAATACCGAATGAAGATCATTTCGTGACATACTTTTCGCCATCCGCTACCACCTGCTAAAGAAAAGAAAACAAAATGGCAGATCCCACGTAACTTGGGAATCAATGTTGTGCAAAGCATGCTGATGGAAAGTGACTGTTGTAATTTTTATTAAGCGAAAAATTAGGAAGTGGCGCTAAATATATGCAAAATTTTGAATAGCCAACCATGGAACCAGAATATCCGTTTCGCGATTATTAGTCCCTTTTTCAAAATATTTCGCAGACCTGGCGTGGCTCTGTAGTAGAATGCTTGAATTCCACGCAGATTGCTTGGTTTCAATTCCTCTGCTGGGACACAAACGTTTATTATTTGCATTCGTAGGGTCAACGTTGCCAATTCCACCTTTTTCTTAATGCTCACGCATTGAAAAAAAAAAGAAAGGCGTGGCGTGAAGGGTTTGATGGCGCACGTGACGGGATTGTGAAATTATTCATGTCAGCACCAGCAATTCATATTCATCAAACCATCTTACCCGTCCACACTAATTTTGGTGTACCCTAAGTTAAGGGGGGTACATCATGAACTTACTTACAGCGCAACACCAGAAAAATACAGGACAGGGAAGGAGCAAAAGAGAAAGAAAAGACGGCGCTGACTCACAACAGTTGTTTATTGGAAAAAAACGGGGTGAAAAGTATATAGGTACTGGCAGCCTACATCACATCATGCGCAGAATACGAGATGCACCGAGGTAGCGTTGTCACACTCATGGCAATAAACAAGATTGGCCTAAATAACTTAATTCTTTTTCATGCAGTGTGACGGATGGTTCACAAAGGCACTTGCTACCTCTAATATTTATATGATATATGAAGAATGGTATCGCGTGGGTACCCAGGCGTAGGCGATTTGACAGACAGATGCTCAAAGTGGTTGCAGAATGCAAAGAAATTAATTTTAAAGACCATTGAGAGTATAACCACCAGAGTTATTTTTAAAATGTGCTTTGTTTCTGAGAATAAGAATTATCACAGGAGACTCAAAAACATTTACCTTTTAGCCTGCATTCCTCTAGGATTCGAGTGAAAACAAAGAATGATAACATGCCAATGGGCAATCTGACACTCGAAACATATGATACTCAATACGTTGTTGCAAAGGGAGTCCGACGTTGAAATGGGGAAAAAAGTGTGTCTGAATTTTGAAATGGTATTTTTAAATTTTCAGAAAAATATTGATATTTGAAATTATGCCTAAACGGCGATTTCGTTCGACACCGTTTGCTCAAATTTGAAAAGATAGTTCGATGGAGTCACTCTCAAAATACCTTTCTCACACGACAGCCTTCGGCGTCAGCCTTCTGTCTGCTGAATCTTGATCCTACTTTTCCATTCAGGAAACCGTGCTGGATCTGTTGGTGCGGGGAACAAGACACCTTTTCCTTGTTCGACCAATAACTTCTTTGACACAGCGGCACAAAACACGTCCTTTCTTTGCATTTCCACTTAGCTTTTAACATCTCAGGATGTCACAGCCTACATATGGCGTCGTCGAACTTCACAGTAAAACAGATGTTAGCTGTCACACACTGATTTTACACGTGGCGAGGCTCCGGCAGCAACGGGACGAGAGGAATTTCGCGCGTTTGTGCATGAATAAATGGATAGATGTATGTGGCTGTACCCTTTAGATCGGGCGGCGGCTAACGCCACCTAGCCGTAATACTTAGTGAATTAACCACTAGATTTATCTTTTTTTTTTCCTTTAAATAGTAAAGTTCCCCACTCGACACGCAGCGCCGCTTGTGGCATATGAGCGCAGTCATCACATGCGGAACGGTAAGGTTCCTTTTGGCGTTGCATAAATGGTTGCCAGACTGGAAAGATGGTTGTTGCCAGATTGTTGCTAAATTTGGCTAAAAGTGTTTCTTCTGTAGTTGTAGCTTTTTCGTAAGAGTTTGATGCTATCTGCGGTGAATTTCGCGAGTCCAGGCGTACATAGCTGTAGCATATCCGACATACCCTAATTAACCAGCCTTGGAACGCTTATTACGCTAATTAAGCAGCCTTGGAACACAGCTAGGGGAAGCGTCGCGTCCCCCGTCGTAGCGCGCGGTCGACGCGACACGATCAGCTGAGAGGAAAAAAAAAAAGAAAAGTAAGGGGGAGGGGGGCAGCGCATCACCTCCTGCGACTCTATTCAGTTTTCCCCGTCATCCTTAATACTGAGACGCGATATCTTAATTGCACAGCTGCGCACACAGCAAGAGAACGCGCCTAGACTTCGGTAATGGATGGTTCATTCCGTTAATTAAAACGGCCTCTTAATTACACGGCAGCGCCGCGCTCGACTTCTGCTAGGCTCGGTTCATTCCGTTAATTAAAAGGGCCAGCGTCGCTCAAGCACTCGCAAAATGCACCGCGGATAGCACTAAACTCTTACGAAGAAGCCACAACTACAAAAAATGTTTTGCCAAATTTAGCGGCAGTCTGGCAACAACCACCCTTCCAGTCTGGCAACCACTTATGCAACGCCAAAAGGAACCTTGCCTGCAGAGCCACCCTCTCTCCTACGGATTGCGTGCGCTCTGCACACTAGCCAGATAAGTGTATAGGTGTTCTGTGCCAGTATATTTCTAGACACTGTACAAATAGGGCGCGCCAACTAATGGGATATGTGTCGAGCAGCTAGCTCTCATTCTTTCACAAATTACAAGGTCATGCACTGGCCCACAGGAAGTACAAATGCATGCACTGTTTCTCACAGCCTATAAAAGCTTGTCACAAAACCCTTGGGCACATCTGAAGGTTAAATACTTATAAAAATTGTCCTAGTTCGCCAAAACACGTACTGATGCACGTTTGAAACGGTTGCGCTGAGCACGCGACACGGTTGAGCGCACAACGTATCAAAATGAAGAAATTTAAAAAAGCCAAGTTGCGGTCCGACTTCGCTGTTTTGCAAATGCTGTCCTCGCAATAAAAAAAAATGAAATTCAACGTACACGCTATCAGCACCCCCTGAGACAGTTTCGAGACGGCGCGTCAGTTTCGATTGATTTTTGTGGGGTCTCGCTCTTGATCTCGGCAGGCGGGAGCAGACGAGATTTTGCGTGCTGGCTTGTTTTTGCTGGCACCGCTGGCTGGCGCCGCTGGCGCTGCTACTGGTCGCGGAGCGCGGAATTGTGGGAAGTGTGGTGGTGACAAACGAGTGTGTTCGTCTTTGAAACTCGCTGTTTTTGGGAATGAATGAATTACTAAGCACAGCCAGGTGAGTGCAATCCGGAGACGTTTGACCGCCGTTAGCGCTCTCGAGAGTTCAGTGGTCGTCAGACAACGGGGTCGCGATGTTTCGGTTCCCGACCGAGACCCGTTCGCTGGACTGCCCGTCTGTGCCCCTAAGCCTAAAGACAGGCACCCGGGCAACGGGCTCGCTGTCGAAGAGCATCTCGGGGCCGTACCCGTGTCAGTTTGCAGTGCGCGAAGGCGCGTCGTTATCGCTCGAAATGACGGTTCTAGTTTAGCGTGCTTGCCACGCCGCGCCTGTCAGCGAGTCTAGGTGGCGGTTTCGTTGTCGACGGGGAGTGCTTCGCGAGAAAGGAGAGTTGCCGTGCAGCCCAGGCCAACCTACGCAAACAGGAATTGTTTTTTATTGCTGATTCGGAGCCCCCCGCGTGCGAACAATCGGTTTTTCTCGGCCAGCGAACGCCTCGCGGTGTGCTCGTTTTCTCGACACCGCCGCCGCTGACAGAGCGTACCGCACTGCGCGTGTGGTTCTCACCGCGCAAACGTTACGGAAGCACAGTCGCGAGCTGAGGTCGTGGGGGAAAGAAATCGAGATACACTACGGGACGGACGGAGCGGCAGCCTTCTCGGGGCGGCGTTCGCTCTTGACGTCACCGAGATTCGTTATAGAGCAGCTGTTGGCGGTGGCGTGGAGACGACGAGCAATAACACTTGCGTAACTGAACGGTCGTCCCTCGAGTATGGGTCATCTTGTCAGGGTAAAAAATACCGTCTCGTGTGGGAGGTGGGGGGCCTGCCAACCCGTGGCCGTAGTTTGAGTGCTCGGCATGGTTCTACGCCTAATTGGTGACGGCCGTGTGTGTGCGCGTGTATGGCGCGAGGTAGGCGTGCGCCAGCTAGAAGTGTCGCTCGGAATCGAGTCGCCGGCTGAGTGTGTCGTCCTCTCTGGTGCTCCAAGGTGGAGGCAACAAGAGCCTTGAGCCGGACCGTCCTCCCGACTCGTCGAGGCCGCTCGTCAGGTTGACAGGAAGAAGCGAAACAAACCGCCGGATTACGTGCAGCACCAATTACCTTCCCGGACTATGAAAATGGTGTTGTCCCAAAGGCAGAGGGAAGAGCTGTGAGTACCTCTCGTGTTCTTCGCTGTTTAAGACGCCTCTGCTTGTTCCGTGTTTTTTTTTTTTTTTTTTCTGACCGCGATGTCGGTCTCGGGTTGTTTTTGCGTCCGCTGGGCATCTCTCCAGCGCCTATGGATCCCCTGTGGCGATGCGTTCGAGCATATGGTTCGAGCGTAGTCTGCTTCTCTCAAGAGCGCGATGACTCTGTGGTGTGTGCCGTCGCGCTTGACTTGACAGCTTCCCGAGTGTGTATATGTGTGGATCACGCGGTTTTTTTTTTTTCTTTTTTTTTGTTCCTCACCGGGGGCAAGTGACCTTTGCAGCGCTTCTGGCTGCCTTCTTACTTTAAAATGTATTGTCCACAGGTGTTTTCTTGCTCGGATAACTCAAAGATTACTATAATCTCGCACGACAAACTCTTACAAGATTATAGCAATAAAAAAATAAAAGAAAGGATAAACTATCGTCCTGAACCGGTTACCGAAGGGGGAAGGAAGGATTAACGAACGGGCCGAATGAATTTTTTTTTTTTCGGCAGTGTGCTGGTGGGGACATCGCAGCATTCTTTCCCCTCTAGACTGGACGCCTCGTTAAAAAAATTGTGATCGCTCACGCGTGAACGATGCTTTCAGGCGTGCGGTAAACCTGCCTGTGTTTGAGAGGGAGAGACGGGACAAGAAATAAGAAAACGCGAAAAATTTGTGGTTCCTAGCGGTTGCACGGTGAATATATACTCCGTGTGGTTGCCCTCTCCAAGGTTATTGTTCCGTGTTCCCCGAGCGAGGGTCGATTCTCTCGAACGCGCATTATTGCTTCTGGGGGTTCTGGGGGGGGGGGGGGGACGGAGAAAGCTTTGTGCGCCAGGCTTTTTTTTGTTTTTATTTTACCTTTTGGTCGAGAGGTGTCTAGGGGCAAGGCTGTGCACTTTTTTTAAGGACATCCATGTTGCGGCTTGCGAACAAAAAACAGTGGTATCTCAGCACTAGCAGGCGCCTGGGCCAGTTCAGTGTCGTTAAGTGCGGTCGACGCATAAAGGAAAACTGAGACGCATTTCCGAGGTTATGGTGGTTTTAACGGCTTGTTTCTCGCATAAGTGGCCTAGTTTGCCAAGTACGTTGGCAGGAAATCAATTCTGGTACATTCTAATTTGAAAATGAAATCTGGTCTTGAAATGCCATCAAAATCATCGCCAAGTGACGCAGTGGATGAGCCAAACTTGTGTGCGACACTCATTTCCAGTGGCTGCAGCAGCAGTTGCAGGGACTGGTGTGTTGTGATTACATGATGCATCTCTATGGTCTGCATGCGGAAGTTTAAAGTACATAAGAACAAGTAACACAGTAAATTATATGCAGGGTACTCTGAGGGCTGTTAGTACTTTTACAGCAATTTCGTGGTCATGTGTGGCAGAATTTAACGGGAAAAAATGACCTGTAGAAATCTCACAAGTACTTGGATTGCCTTGTAGCGGCTATGAAATTCTACCAACTTGACATGTCAACAGAAAATAAGTGTGATATGTGCAGCCTTCCTACAGTCGTTCTGTTAGTGTGCGCTTCGTCTGTCTATATGTGTTCCTTCATGCGTCCTGTATTTTGAGCACATCACTTTTAAGCAAGATGATTCACCAATAAGCCCAAGGTCAAACCCTCCTGAATTTCTTCAAAGTACTGTAGGCTCACTATGCCAACAGAGAACTGTTTACCCTGGTGTCAATCACTGCTCTGTCACCTGTGGAGTCGTGCACTGGGAGAAGTCGGTCCTTTTGATTTTTTAAAATAGAATGTGCTGATTATCTAATGTTGGTGATGAATCATGTTTCATGCATAATGGAGAGGTGGCTCTTAAGGTCTTGCATGCTAGTTGGGTCATCACACTTGCCAGTGGAAGGCGATGCTCTTTTTTTGTCATAAAGGATTATTTTGTAGCTTGATGGAAAGGGTGAAGCATTATTCAATCCTTCTTTTGCCTTCTCTACATTTTGCTTGCATTAATCAAAAATGGTTAAATTATCAACACATGCAGTGTAAAGCTGAGAACCTGTGCCATGTTGACTGCCTTTGTAGCCTTCAGTGGCAAAAGACTTTGGGGGGTTGACTTGGGAAGCAGTTCTCGCTAGGAAACTCTCTCGTCTACTCATTCATTTGAAAAATCGAGGTTACCAGCTGGGATATAATATGGCAGACATTGATTTTGCATTCGCAACCATGTTTAAATGGCTTTTATGCATACGAAGACATTCAAAGGGCAAATTTTTGTTCCTCAGTAGCAATGAATGGTCTTGAATTGGTGATTGGAAAATGCGAATCAGATGAGCTAGTGAGGTTTGAAAAGCCACAGCCTCCTTTTTATTTGCTTTTGTTTTGGGGTTTTTCGACCCTTTATGACCGGCTATGCTGACCTTTTCTGTGTTCGGAAGCATTGGTAAAACGCTCCAATTTTAACATCCTTTGAGAAGCAATTCATGCACTGATGTGACACGCAGTGTGGGTCAGCTTCCTTTCTTCTTGGGGTTGGGTGGTAGCACTAGAAGTCTTCTTCACTGTACTCGGATCCAACCTCAGGAGGAATGTAGGCTTCGCCCTCAAAATCACGGCATGCATACCATTCACCTGTGAAAGATGGTTGGGCTTGCTTATTTCTGCTCGAACTGCAAGTACTTTTTTTCAGCTATTGTGAATGCAATGCACATTAAGCGTTAAAGATAGGTTGTTACTACTTAAAACATTGCATTTGGCAGTGGCAGCTATGTCAGAATAACTGGTAAAATTTTAGTTCTAAGATGTTCACATTTCCGATTAAAAAATGGACACAAAATGTATTTGTACTGAAAAGTCAACTATCTGAAACACATGGAAAGTGCTTGGCATCACAAGTGTGAGTAAACTCTATTGGATGGAGCATTTGTGCAAATTATTAGGCATCATATTTTTTGTGGTTGTATGTAACAAAGTATACCCTCTTGGTTCAATGGTGGCCTTCATGGTGGATGCGTAGACGCTTCATTCTTTCCTAGCCACTTGTGTGAATTTAGATGGCTCGATGTTTGGACAGGCCGGTCTCTCACCTTGCGGAAGGTGATGGGAGCAGAGGGTGCAGTTTGCTTCTAAATGGTTGCAAGCCAGTTGAGCCCCTCCAACAGAAGCACTTGGCTCATTTTTCTTCCACTGCCATTGTGTCGTGACACAATTTGGGCTCCCTGCAGTGTCTCCTGGTGAATCTCCCTTTAATCTCTCCATAGCACATTTCCTTAGGTTTTTTGCTTTGCTTGTTGTGGGTGCTCTTGGCTCTTCCCAGAGTGAGTGGAAAATTGTTCGCTGCTTTTTTTTTTTCCTCTTTACTGGTGGACAATGGCAAAGTGCTCAGAGGTGCTTAGGTTCAAACACCTCAGGTTATACCCCCTTCTCTAATTCCCCACCATTCACTGCTGCCTATCTCTCTATCCAGAGAGCAGGTAGCGCTTCACAATAGGATTGGGGTGGGGGGTCGCTAGACAATTTCTTTTTTGACTGTTGCGTTGGCCAAATGTTTTTGTGTAGCTACTGCTTCCTCAGGGCTGCCTCACTACAGAACAGTTTGTGAAACATTTAGTGCTCCTCTTACTGGTTATCCTCATTTATGTTAATCAGTGTATGGATAGCTTGTAATTTCATGTGCACTGATTAAGATCAATGAGGATAACCAGCAAGAGGAGCACGAAATGTTTTCCAAACTGTGTGTGAAATGTGTGCATGAAGCGTGCCTTCACTTTTTCTACATAAGTAATTGTAGCATTAAACAAAGTTAGGTGCCTCATTCAGGTTCAACAACACTTAGCTGAATGTCTTAAAAACCTCATTTTGGTAAGTTTATAATGCAAGTAGTGTAATCTCTTAAGGTCTGATAGCAAGCTTATATGATTTGTGTGGATAATATGTATTGCAATCTGGGCATTTGGAGCTGCTTTTATTCTTTTTTTCTATGAACTAAAAGTCTGTCATAGACTCTTCATGTCGTACAGTAAAAAAATCTTTTTGCTCAGAGTTAAGAATTTAGAGTTTAGATTCTGGGCATTAGTTTTATATAGGGCTTAAATACTTTCAATATTCTTTTCTAGTGCCATTCCTGCATATCTATTAGGTTTTATATAAACAACAGAGAAGCATTGGGAATAGTATAAACAAGAGTTCTTCATTCAATCTTTCCGGCTTTTTTATCGAGACACCATTTTGCCTTTTGCATCTTACGCCTTGCAAAGTTCGCTGACTACCACTGCTTTCTTGATGGAATCGGCAAAATTGACACAAAAGCAACAGTGAATGAGATGTGCCAGCCTTAGGAATTGGAGGGTTGGGTCGAAAGTTAATTTATGTACAGCATGGGGGGGGGGGGGTGACAAGCTTGCCGTAAAATTGACATGTGCAGCTATATTGGAACTTTTTAACAAAATGTAGGCCAAACGATCGTGAATAGCTGTTGCCGGTGCCTGTTGTGTGCGATGATAGTGTTTTGAAAAGCAGCTGCCACTATCACAGTTTGTGGGAGAGTTAGCCGGGGTTCATTGCCTTTTTGCGTGAGTCACCACGCCCGCATCCTGTGTCGTTCATGTGGGCTCATGAACGAGCTGTAAATCTTGCGGCAGCGGCCATGTGGTAGGTGGAAATGGTTGCTTCTCATGTGTTGGTGGCTTGCTTTTTGAATCGACTGAGCAGATCCGGCTTTTCAGGGATGCTGTGCTGCGAGCACTTGCAAGTTCTTGGCTTTGGAATTCTAGAATGCCAAAATTTTATCATTGTATAAGCCAAAGAAATGCTTTCTATGGGCAGCCTTTAAACAAGCGTTTAATTTTGACAAATATTTTTCACATATGGATCAAGCAAAGGAATTTCATGAGCTTTTGAGAGTTGCAGAAAGGGGGCAGGATATATGGTACTGTTATTTTATTTCTTCATGTCTCATCCATTTTATTTCAGGTGTGGAGTGTCGTACATTTAGCTTATTTGCCAGAGAAAAAAAAAAAATGTGCATGCATAAGCAGAATGTATCAAATAACAATAAAAGTAACCCAATATAATCATAAAAGTATCCAAATAACAACTAAGAAACTGTGCATTGCGTCTCTGTTATGCCTGCACTGGGCTAAATAACCAAACGGTTCATTGCAGTGAGGAGAGCTTCAGCATTTTTTTGTTGTTGCTTTTCCCGTTAGCATTCAAACGTGACAGCTTGATATTGGAGCAGACTTGGCAATGTCCCATTTTGAGGCCTAGGATTTCAATACAACTACAAAAATGAAATGCATTGTATTTTGTATATGCTCAAATATTGATGCTGTAAGCATTTTTTCAGCTAATGCTCTAAGCGCTCAGTAACATTTGCATGAGCATGCAGTACTGCTACCAGCACAAGATGTAGTACAGGGATGTTATAGTGATGGCAGGAAAGCCTTGTGAGCGAGTTTTCACACCCTTTGTACGTACCAGTTTGCTGGCGATATTTTAGTAGTGATTCATCTCAAGGGGGGGGGGGGGGGGGGGTCCTCTGCATTACAGCACTGTGGTGATATGCTGCATGCTTCCTGCTTACACCGTGTGGCTGGTTGCTCTTTATCACTGTACAAACACAGTGGAGCTTGTAAAATGCAACGTAAAAAAAAAAATGCTTTACTGGCTGAGGAGGGCTTTGCAGGGATGTCCTATACCCATGCAAGTTGTACATAAGGTTACTTTTATTATATAATTGATCTCTCTACAAATTGGAAATTCAGCACTCTAGTCCAGTTTGCATTTCCTAAATTGCTGCCATGTGCATGAAAATAACTAATATTTTTATGGCCATTTTTGCTGCAAAATGTAGAAGGCATGCTGTGCTGTCTAGCTGAAAAGAAAATGTTTCATTGTTTGAATTTCATCATTTCGAGGAGCAGACAACTTGCATACAACGAAAGAAGTTGCGTGTTGGGCGAGTTTTTACGTGGTTATGCTTGGAGTATGCGAGTAAATAGGAAAGAAAGTCGTAAACATCCAGAGCACCTGAAATATTTCTGGACTAACAACCAAACTTTATCATTGAAGGACTGCTTCTAAATTTTGTATAGAGCATGCAGAAAGGTTACATTACCTATGCACATTGCCAACATTGAAGGAATGTTTCTAAGTTGCAAACAACAGAGTGCTTGTGCGGTTTTCTTTGTAAGTTTACAAAAGTGACTCGCTTCGATGAAACATCATTACCGCTGCTGCTTCCCATTTCCCACAAGTGGCATACTGCCCACAAGTAAGAGGTTGTTGCCCACGCCCGTGGGTAAATGATCAGCAAATTACTGCACGTGAGTACTACCACAGCGACCGGTTTGCCTTATGTGTACGCCTCGTCACATTTTAGCGGGATGCTATACGCCTGAGCAAGTGTCACTTGGGCAGTGTGCTAGCACTATCATTTTCATCCATATTCCACTCATAAGGTTAATGGAGTGGGTGTTATGTGAAAGGATGTGGTGATGTGTCATTTTATTATATTTGCTTCTTTGTGAGACATGTCATTTTCATTTCTAAGAGACATGACACTGGCTTCTAAATCATTGTCAGCAATGTGCGAATTACACTGCGTACCATTTCCTAGCTATTGAAAAAGTTATGAAGCCTTAGCATAGCCACAGGGGAGGTTATACAGTCAAGGTGCTTGTGTCTAATGTTTTGCCATAGGCAGTACTCATGTCCTGTTGTAGACCACTTGCATTTTAGTTGCCTGGCACATGTGCGGAGCATATGGAGAAATACATGAGTGGTACTAAATTGCGTCATTGGTGTGTTGTGCGAACTTACCTGAAGTTGCGATTCAAAGCAGACTGTTTCATATACAGCAACATTCTTTGGAGGTCGTCTAACCGGGGCAATCAGTTGACTGTCACTGCTGATGGATCTTCATTTCAGTTGTGCGTGCTGTGTCAGTGAAACGGCTTGAAGTTTTGCTTGTTAAAAACTATTGCTCTTTAACCTGGTATACAATTAGTGCCCACTGCCTGTACAGACAAGGAAGAAGACATCAGCACTAAATGTTATACGTTGGCGGGTTACTTGAATGCGGTTTAAATTGTGGAAGTCTAATTTTGACATTTATTTTCGAATGCTGTGTTGTGTACCAGCTAGTTTCATTCCGTGTTACAGGAACTGCAGGTCACCCACTGGTTAATGACATTTAATTGATGTGCTTCTTTGAAGCATGGTGCACAATCTTTCTGGTTATAGCGGAATAATTGCACGCTAAATATAACAGGCACTTGTTTCTGACTTCTCAAGCTTGTGTTGGCACATCCCTGCTCTTTTTGGCGAACACATTCACATAGCTTAGCGAGTACTAAGATAAATAGGTGAAATTCGCAACTGCTTAAATGTCGTGTGCCGAAGTGTGGCCGTGCCCCGACACACAGCACCAGGGTATTGCGGGGTAGGGGTGCGCAGTTGCTATATTATTTTTTTTTGTAGTTTCACTAGCTGCCAGGGCTTGCATTCACCTAAATTTTCTTGTGCAACAAAATTTCTGCAGTATATAAGATTTTTGCGCCTGCCACACTGCTTCCTAGAGCCGAGACAGTTTCGATAACAAATCCAGTCCGTGTAATCTATGAGTACAAGAAAGCTTTAGGAATGCTGGACTTGATCATAAGATCAAGTCCAGAGTTCTCGCATTTATCGTGTTCTAACTTGAAAGGTACTCTGGAAGATTTCGGTTTGGGATTTATTTTTGTTTACATTAAGTGATCTTAACACTTTATAAAGGGCAAGAAAAGTACTTGCTGACTGTGCAGGTGCACGTCTGTGAATCCCAGGTTGTTTAAGTTACTGTCTAATCCTCCTCTATGGTGGGCTTCATCACTGTATGATGGTTTCTACATGTGAAGCATAACTTTTCTCTCAATCATCAGGGCACCTTAATATTCTAGCACATCTGTACTCATCAGTTCTTAAATACACAGGAGGTAAATGCCAGAAGTCTCTCGAAATAATGATATGTTGACGGCTCCTGTATTTATCACACCTGACACACCGTATGAAGTGTTTGTCCATTTCTTAATGATCATCATGGAAAGTTATAGTCGTAATGCTACGCAACGAACTTTGCCCAATATAGTGTGCCCTGATGTTATTGCAGTCCATCATCTGAAAGGGAATATTAGCACTAAAGTAAAATATCTGATTGTTGTGACCCGGTCCAAACACTTAAGCAAATAAGCAAATTTTATAATGTGTCTTGTGAAAAAACTGTAGCAAAAGATTTCAGAAGTTTGATTTCTGTTCTAGGCTAGTAAAATATACATATAGATGTGTTATATTGCCATCGGGGTGGGTTTGTTGGTGTTGTTTACAACATTGCAAATGACCTTAAATCGCACATAGAATACAAAGCCCTGGAGCAAATATGGTGGCTGCCAAGTTGAAGCAATTACAATTTTGAGTTGAATTCTTCTATAATGCAACTAAAGGAGAGCATGAGACTTACCAGAAGCTACATATAAAGCATATTTCACGTGATAGACACTATTACGTATGTTTCATGTACTGCACTGAGCCAGCTTTGGCATCGAGATTACCCATTGCTCGTTTGAATGACTTCTGGCAGACATCAAGTGATAAAGGGCATTAACACAAATGCTATTTGTTTTGCTTGTGTGGCACGGCACAAACAGCAGTAAGTCTTATAATATCTAGGAAATAAATGTCATTATCTGAGTTTAAGTGGCAGAAGAATTATTCGCTGTTGTGCCGAAGAGTGCACAATAATATTGTAGTGGTCATTTCTCAATGCGTGTTTCTGTTTGTGTGTGCAGCAACAAGGCGATTGCCGATTATATGGCATCCAATGGGTTCATGGAAGCCCTTGAAGCCTTCAAGAAGGAGACAGACATGGTGAGAGAAGCCTATGTCTGACATATCTTGAAATGCAAAAGCCAGTGGGAGACTGGCGTTATTGTTGCATTGAAAAAGATACACTGTAGAAGATAGTCAATGCTCTTTCTTGGCGATGTTGCTTTGTTCTTTGAGCCGAGGCGAAACTCGAAGCAAAGGTGTAAACACTTTAGACAGTGCTGTGCGGAATATGTACTTTTGAGGTACACCTGAAGTCAAAATTGATGACATGACAAAATTTTGTTCTAAAAAAGCCCCCCAAATTGTGGCCAATAAGGCATTGCATGCAGAGTCATTACGAAACATCGGAAAAAGTGACTGCTTCGAAACTGCTTGGCACAACATATGCCTGTTTTCGGAAAAACTGATTCATTTTTCATTGCACTTGTTTTACATGTCGCATCCCTTTATCGTTACACTGGCTGTTGCCAGGATTCCATCATTGCAAAGTGAAGGAACCGGATGTCTCAGGAGTACCTCGAGTGCTGTGCTATCTGGTCTATAGGGAAGTGGATTGCAGGGATGGCAATCTTTCGCATGCGTACTTGAAGAGTCTTGGTCGACTGCTAAAACATGTCTAAGCTTTCATTTATGAACAGTTCACCAACAGGGAAGCTTCAATGGTAGTATTTATGTATGTTAATTCCACGCAACAGCCGGATGAATGCTTTCAGTGGGAAGCATCTGAGCTATTCCCCGTTACAGTGACGAAGCAAAAAAAAAAGTGTGATGGTTGTATGAATGGGGAAGAATCAATGTACAAAGGCATTGTGTTCACTAGACCAAGGAACTTTAGTAATTGGGCTAGTTGAAAGATACTCATCACAATCAGCGCACAAAAAAACACAGGAAAGTGCATGACACAAGCGCTGTCTAACAAATGAAAGTTCAATGGAAGAAACTTGTGATATATATGCGAACATGAAGGCATAAAAAATCTTGACAACCTTCACCAAGGAACTTTCATGCACGAAACTTTGAAACTTTTTTCATTTCCAGCATTCGCTATGCGGAGGGTCAAAAAGCCTCCGATGGGCTTTGCTAGAATCGTTATCCCTCTCAAGTTGGAAGCAAGGAAATATTTATATTTTAGTAAAAGGTTGAGCTAGCAATCTTAGTACCATAGCACAAATCTGTGAAAGCAGAGTGAAAAAATCAAATGAAAGGTTCAAACTTGAAGGAAGAAATGATTGTAACGACTCCCTTATACATGTGAAACAAGGCCTTGAGGCTGCACAACACTGCAAGAAATACAAGATTATACTGTGCATATGTCTGTGTACATTCAACACACAATGAATTATAAAATGGAAACAAAAAAAAAACTTGAGAAAGAAAAATAAATTGATAATCATACAAGATGCGAGTTGAGTAACAGCATATTGGATATAGTCATGCAGTAAATAGAATAATGAATTTGTGTAATTTCAGTTGTACTGTGGTGAGGTGCTGACATTCCCTGTAAAGTTGTTTGCGCCGCGTGGTGCATGTGTCTCGCACAGAAGTCTCATTTCGGGTTACAACTACCAGGCGGTAGATGGCGTTGTGCTCGTGAGCATTTATCGCCACCATCATCATCATGGTTACTAGAGCGTTAACGCCAGCGGCGATGCCTGGCGGGAAGCCTTGGTGGCGGTGTGCAAGGAATAAGCTGGTTTCCTCATAGGCGGGTGCTGGTTGACGCGAATGGTTCTCTCTCGCGTGGGTCCCCGGTGGGCGGCACCGGGGGCCCTTGTGGTAAGTCAAGTGCCGGCGACGCTGCCTGGAGTGTGTTCTTGTGCTTGTTGTGTTGTCGAGTGTTGTTTAATATTGTGTAAGGATGTCTTAGCGTGTCGATCACGATTGTTGTTCTAATAATTCGGCTGAGGATATTGTCAATCAAAAAGTAGCTAAATAAATGTGTGTTGTTGTTTGGTTTGTTTCGAACGTGTCTACTGTGTCCGTTGACTCCAAGAGCGTGGCGTGGCACTCTCCAACTCGAGACCCCTCAGGCTGCCCAACGTGGGGCTCTTGGAGCATCGGACGACAGTTTTCGCGGTTCGGTACAAGCTTTTGTTAGAGCCGGGGTAGAGTAGGCCTAGGGGGACTTCTTTGCTAGTGTCGGTGGTGAGGGAAGCAGAGTGCAACACCTCAACGCCACAAATCTACCTAGTTGTGCCATGTTTATTGCAAGTTATTGCGGGTTACATCACTCCCGTTGCGTTCATTCAAAACACTAGAAAGAACAATGCAGTAGGGCAAAGAGAGCTTCGGGCTCCTCGTCCACATGATACGATCGTCACTACTGCTAGCTAATGCATCGGCAACGGCCGAGACGCCAGCTCAAACAACAAAAAAAGGTCACTTTTCTTAACTCATGCATTGCAAGATAAAAAAAAAGGTGAGGGGAGCAGAGTGCAACACCTCAACGCCATGGTCTACCTAGTTTTGCCACGTGCGACAGGTGGCTGCGCAGAGCCTTAGGCCTAATGAATCGCTTGACATAAAGCGGCATCCACCCAGCCCAGGCGTAAAAGAGGCAGCCCCAAGGAGACAAGGTGGCCTTGGCTGTAAGGTGGCCTTATCGCTCGCCGCACACAGCAGCTTACCAAGCGATCGGCGTCCACCGTCCTGGATGGTGTCACGACGCCCGGGCGTCAAGCCGCAATACTAAACAGCAATGATGCCCGGCTCCCTGAGCCCAAAAGAGAAGCTATTTACAGAAAATTGGTCCACCCATGAGTCTTCCTTACTCGCTTCGGGCCTGGCCCACAAACCACGAGCTCTAAGCTTTGCTCGCCCTAGGATGCTGACCGCATGGTTCCCGTCCCAACTCAACAACATTCTTGAAAATCAAATACTACGAAAAACCACTTGCGAGAAGAAAAAAAAAAAGACCAAGTCAATGTGTCGACAAGTCAAGTCAAGCGTGCCACAAAAAATGATCTCTTCGCTCTCAACAAAATGTCCAATGTGACAGGGGTTATAACACTGTTGCAATAAGTGCTAGGCTCCATGAAGTGAATACGGCAATGCTTTCGCACTTCAACACAATTTAGCCGAAAATCATCTGATTTGTTTTTCAACTGCTATCTCTGGAACTAAAATTTTGTTCCTGTTGCATGTCAAATGATGGCCTTGCAATCAAATGACTTGAGTGTGCACCTCACAAACTATTAGAATAAAGTGTCCCGCAGGGGCGCCTGCGCAAGTAGGCGTTTGGTGTGTAGCGACACCACGGACCCGAGCTAACGGGGGAGTTTCTACTCCCTCCCACGCCTAGCCGTGCGTGGCTTTGCCGTGTCCGGGGAAAAGGGGATCCTGGGGTTTGAGCCGAGGCTGGGTGATTGGACCTTTAAGGCCCCCCGGCAGAGGCAACACACCCCTTTGGCCCCGGCTTCACGTAGACGGCACCCCTGGGCTGACCCACCCAGGGGAAATCGGCAGTCGCCTTTTCCTGTCTCTGCCTCTCTTCATCTTCTTCTTTCCCTCTTACTTTCAATCTTTCCTGATCTCTCCTCTCTTCAATTTACTTCTGTTTTTCCTGGCGGCAAGGGTTAACCTTGTGTGGCTATCCAAACTAGGGTAAACCATATTGGGTTATAGTAACTGCGTACTGCTGGCGTTGCGCAGACATGCCCACATGCTCTGCCACGTCCCCTTGTTGGACTCCGTGGTGGGTGGTAGGCGCCGTTACCGAAAAATACACATTTTCCCATGGGATCCTCGACCCCCTCTCTAATTGATCGTGCCTCGAAAAGGGTACGCACCGACGCAACTTCACTACTTTGGTCGAAAAACAGAGAAACTTTCCCAAAATACCATGTCCTCCACTGCGAACAATCATCTACAAAAGCTAGAGCAATCTCACCCTTCCTTGTGGCCAAGTGCTTGAGAGAGACCATTGGAACCGGTTATAAGGCCACGAAGATGGCAAGTGGAGATCTGCTTCTCGAATTAAAAGACAAGGAACAGTACAATAAACTCTCGCACCTCGTAGCCTTTGGTAACATCCCCGTCTCTGTGAGTGCACATCGTACAATGAATACAGTGAAGGGCGTGGTATCGGACGAAAATTTGATGACACTGAGTGAAGAAGAGCTTCTTGATGGATGGAAGGACCAAGGTGTAATACATGTCCTGCGCATCATAATCAGACGCAACAACAACGAAATAGCAACAAAGCACTTAATACTCACCTTCAACTCAACCACCTTACCTGAGACTCTCGAAACTGGCTATATAAAACTCCATGTCCGACCCTTCATTCCGAACCCGAGGCGTTGTTTCAAATACCAGCGATTTGGTCATGCATCCCAGAGCTGCCGAGGGCAGCTGATCTGTGCTAAGTGTGGCACAACCGGCCACAGTGCTGATGATTGTAGTCATGATGAGGCCCTCTGTGCTAACTGCGAAGGTAGTCACCCCGCATACTCCAGAGCGTGCCCAGCCTGGAAAAAAAGAAAAAGAAATAATAACTATAAAAGTAAAGGAAAATATCACATTCAGGGAAGCAAGACAACGGGTCTCACTAACATTGGCATGAAAAACACCTTTCGCCGAAGTGGTGCAACGAGGGGCGGCACCGCAAAGGCCCTTGGCATTTGCCCGGACCTCGCCTAGCGTGCCGAGGCCAATGCCACAAGCCCCTACGGCGGGAGCAGCTAGCGCTGCCCTGCCCAGATTCAGCCTGTCCACACTAGTGACCTCGACAAGCTCTAACAGCAGCCAGGGCAATCACGAGGCCAAGGGGGCTTTATCGACCCCCAGCTCGGTGGGGACAAAGACTTCGTCGATCGAGGCGAAGTCTAAGCGACGCACAGATCGCTCTGTAGAGCGGGCGTCCAGTGCTTCGCAAGAGGCTATGGACACCAGTTCAAGCCAAACGGCGCAGGAAGCGCCGAAGGAGCGGCGAGCTTCTCTCGACCGCCCCAAAAAAGACAGAACGCCGATTACAGAGCCTGACAAAGGCCCTGTAAAATGAGCTAATCTCCGTCTTTTCTGCACGCAGCACTTTTTTC